TGCTTAAGCATATTATAAATATTAAAAAAAATAAAAATATTTGTAGTATTAAAAATATTCTTGTACCATGACTTCTATGTAGTGTTTTTCATAACTTTTGCATTGAATACTCAATGTAAAATTGAGAATTGATATGCTATCAACATTTAGATTAAACATTGGGACAGAAATCAGATGACTTGTGTTCAAGTTTGACTTCTGTAATTGCAGAGGGTAGAAACTCATGCCAACATTCTACTTTCACTGTTATAAATTAAATAAATAGACCAAATAAGTAAGCTTTTAAATAATACTGTTATATAATCCAAGAAAATAGGGAATAATAAAGCTGGTCTTTTATTTCTACTGTGTATGTATGTATGTGTCTATCTGTTGAGTATCTATCCACCCTTCCGTCATCCATCCACCATTTAATTACTGTCTATTAAGCCTTTGAGCAGCCTTCAAAACCCACTTGCCCGCGCATTGCTACATATGTAAGACTTTTCAGTAATTAGTTCTTGAACAGTCCAAAATTGTTTGTAAAGGAAGTAAATATTTTAAAATAAAAAAAACATGATCTGACTTTAAGGAAAAGCATTTCGAGGAGGATGGTAGTGGGTTTTTTTTTTTTTAATATGTTGGGGGAGAAAAGAAGAAGTATAGAATAAGAAATTACAGAAGTGTAAGGCCCGCTGTAGACAGAAATAATATCCTTGGGCAAAGGTAACTTAGCCTATGCAGAGGGAAGTATCTATGAGGAAGATGATGCAACAATACACATTTCAGCTTGTCCAGATTTTTGTAGCTCCAGCCTTGGCCTTGAATCTTCCCTTTCATATGAACTAACGTGTATTTCCAAGTTGTGGTCAGAGAAAGCACTCTGCCCCTTGTGCTTTGAGATGTTCCCATCCCATACTGCCCCACAGGGGTCACTGCTGTTAATTCAGCCTCCCAGCCTCCCCACCAGCGTCTCCCTATGCCTGAATACTTGCTCTCAGTCCTGGTCACTCCTCCTGCCTGATCAACTCTCTGCTCCCTGCTTCTCCTTTCCTCCCCTCTGTTCAGGCTGCCCTGTGGTCAGTCCCCTTTTCTCTGCCCTTGAAGCACGCTCTATGCGTCTCTGTAATTGCTCCTTACCTTGACCCTCTTATTTCTCATTGTCTCCCTTGTGCCTGGAACAGAGCTTCAGTGACCATGAACACATCCAGTCCAGGAGCACTCATTTAGGTTTCCATCATTGTTTATTCTGTCACTCAGCATCCCCTTCATCTTGGCTGCCAAGAGCTAGAATAAAGCCTAGGCCTGTAATTTGAATTAACTGGCTCGCCAGGTCTTCAAATATGGATATGAATGCACATACACACATGCATTCTTCTGTAAGAAGGGAAGTGTTCTGTTCATTAACTCTGCATCCTTTCATGGAAACAGTCAAGCAGCCTTTGAATGCATAAAAATGATAATTTACTAATTAATTCTCTTCCACCCAGAGATTTTTTCCTGTACCTCATTCTCTGGTAAACTCATTGATAAAAAATAAATTACAAACATGTAAATAGGCTTTTAAAAATATAATGTACTGGGTAAATCACTTTGAAAGTAAGAATAGAAGTAGTCCAAGTAAGTTTGGCATCATTTCACCCTTCACTGTGTGTTTGTACAGGTAAATGTGACTTTCCTTTTTTTTCCTTTTGAGAAATGGACCGGATTCTCTATAGTGCTGGTGTCTCCACCTCAAGGCCCTTTGCCTGGTGCCTCCAAGTGAATAGTGTTCAGATTAGTCCTTCTCAGAGAAGCCTATAGTGTCTTAAAAATCATTGGTTGTTTACATACCCATAAGTGGAAGCACTATAAACCAGCATCTGTGGATGTGTTCACACAGTAACAACCATGAGTATGTGGATGTGTTCACACAGTAACAACCATGAGTATGTGGATGTGTTCACACAGTAACAACTATGTGTGTGTTGATGTGTTCACATAGCAACAACCATGAACGTGTGGATGTGTTTACACGGTGACAACCGTGTGTTTGGATGTGTTCACACAGTAACAACCATGAGTGTGTTGATGTGTTGACACAGTTACAACCATGAGTGTGTGGATGTGTTCACACAGTAACAATCATGTGTGTGTGGATGTGTTCACACAGCAACAACCGTGTGTGTGGATGTGTTCACACAGTAACAGCCATGTGTGTGTGGATGTGTTCACACGGCAATAACCATGTGTGTGTGGAGGCGTTCACACAGTAACAACCATGAGTGTGTGGATGTGTTCACACAGTAACAACCATGAGTGTGTGGATGTGTTCACACAGTAACAACCATGCGTGTGTGGATGTGTTCACATAGCAACAACCATGAGCATGTGGATGTATTCACACAGTGACAACCATGAACGTGTGGCTGTGTTCACACAGTGACAACCGTGTGTGTGGATGTGTTCACACAGTAACAACCATGAGCTTGTTTGTGGATGTGTTCACACCACAGCAGACATGAGGAAAATATCTGTCTTTTCACTGTCTGCTGATAAAATGCTCCTCTGGATTAGGTGAACTGTATAGAAGGGTCATGCACTTTGGATTTAATCACCAGTTTATGATCACAAGTACTATTTTCCAAGACTGAAATATATTTAGTCCCTTATTGGAAAAAGATTTATGATTGCCTTACTTATCAGGAGGTGTTTGAAAAAATCATTTCTGCCACTTTATGTCATTGTGGTATATTGTTCAAATGTTCACATTTTTATTCAGTTCAGTGAGGGTTGCAGAATTTCATATCATTACAGGAATGACATACCTCATAGTGGAAGGCTTTTTATTTTTATGAAATCCTGTTATATTTTCATTAAGAACATTAGTTGCTTTCCCAAAGTATGTCTTAAGAGTTGAAGGGTATCTTTATCATCATCCACCCGCTGAGATATATTTAATTTTAGTAACATTTTGTAGGTAATGAGCAAAAATAAATGTAACATTAAAACCACAAGTTCTTTATCCAGTGATGTCATCTACTGCCTCCCTTTACTTCATGATTAGAGGCCTCTAAGCATTTTACCAACACTGTATTTCCTAGTCTATGTGAGTTATGTGTCCCTGCTTGTAAGCACTACTTTTTAAATTTTGGTTGTCATGGTAAATACCATTGGTCAACTAACATTTAGCCTTTCTTTTTTCCTTTTTTTTTTTTCCTTTTTTTTTTTTTTTTTTTTTGCTGCATTAAATGGAGCAGTAAACCTGACAGGTGAGGAATAGAGACTAAACCCCTTTTCATTGTCCAGTAACAAAAAACTAAGATACTGGTAGACTTGGGGTGTTGACCAAGTGAGGGTGGGGGCTGGCATAAAAATCCCACCTAGCAAGTGGAAGCTGGGCAGAGTATGTGACAATCTGGATATTAAAATGATTGTGATGGGAAAAAATGCCTATTTGAAAAGAAAATAGCTTATTTTGTTAAAATGAAATTTTATAAAGCAGTAAAACCAGTCTCTGAGTTTCATGTTTGTTCAGGGTAAATATTTGTATGTGTTAGTGTGTCTGTAGATCAGAAATGTGAGCTCTTATGTAGACTTCTGTTGTGTCGTGTTCTGGTCTTACCAAAAATCAGCTTTTAAATTTGATGACCTCTCAATACAACAGTACTATACTAACGTTTCACACTCTACAATTACTGATGTTAGCTCCTTAGTTAAAATTCTTAACAAATCCAAAATTATTCCCATGTCACCCAGTCCTGATTACTAATAACAGTAGTAATGCTAAAAGCTAAAATATACTGTATGATTATTGGATGATTATTCCAGACTACTTTCCAGCTCTTAAACTTACATGCATGTATACATATGCATGTACAACATATGCATATGTACATTTAAGTAGATTCCCAAGTTTTTAATTAATTAAACTAAGAGAAGGATCAAAGAGACTGTCTACTATCCTCCCACATCATATCCAGTGGCTCTGGTGAGTGGTGCACTAATATCCCTCTTCCCTCAGAAACTGACAGAATTATAAATCCTTGGGCCTCACTGAACATGAAGTTCTCCTTATTAGCCCAGCAGCCTGAATTTTAATCAGCCCTCCCAAATTTCTCATACACACCAAAGTTTGAGAATCACTATTGCCCTGTTTCCTCTAAAATCACTTTACATTGCCTGGCAAGCCACACACTCAGTGCTAGGACCCCTAAAACCTCCAGTAGTGTCTTCTTTGTGGACATCACTCGTTGCCATTAATCCAGCAGGAAAACTCTTACCACTAGCTTGTTTCAGCCAAAACACCAAGCACATTGAATCCACTTACTGTTCTTGGGTTCCACTGTAACTGTGTGGATACTGTACTTTTAATAATCCCTTCTCATTCCACTAATAAGAGAGAGCCTGACCAAAATGTAAACATCATCTTCCATTCCTCCTTTTCCATAGTAAGAAGTTCAATACTACCTATGCATATTCAAGAACAGTGGTACTAGATTCAAGAGACTAAATAGTGACAAACAAAAATGTTTCAACCAATATCTTTGCATATTAAGAGTAGAAATCTCACATAAGTAGTTGTGGTTTCCAGACTGTGCATATGATCTTCCAAATAAGCTCCCTTTGCTCTTACAGCCTTCTGAGATAGGACCCAGGTGAAAGGGAAAGTCAGACAGAGGTTTATGAGAATCTAGAATGTCATCTGATCTTTCACATCCCTTTAATTTCTGTTCATGGTTGATACTTCTCATTTCAAGAAGGCAACTTGAACTATAATTTTGTAACCTTAATAAAAAAAATAGCAGTCAAAATGGGAATGTTTCTAGTTACTATTCATTTCATTTTTCTAATTGAAAGTGAAATGACAGAAGCTTGGAACATTTATCCAAGAGCTGCCTCAACTCATATTCATTAGGGCTTGTTGTACACTGTTCCATGCTTCCTTGTATTTCACGGCAGTAAATTCTTGATTACTGATCATAACCAATGCTGTTTCTCCTCATTCTTTCTTAGAAATATTGTCTGAGCTTGAAAAAAATTTCAATTTTAGTAAACAAGAATCTAAAGGCAGTATGGGTAACCACAACCATCCCTGTCCTATCCCTATCATCGAAACAAAACTAAAAACGTCTCAGATATTGGTGGTCGTCTCCTTTGAACAGAGAGGGTAAAGGAGAAGTTAGCTGTTAAATGTCCACACACCCCTTCCTGAAGAACTATAATTTTATAGACTGTATGAATTGCAATTTTAGTTCCTTGCTATGTTTTCTAAGATTCTTATCCTAATAACAAACATGATTTCCAACTTTCCTGGCACAAAAGAAATTGGATAAATTGCCTTTAAGAAAGCTCTGTCTAGCCTAATGTCCCTCAGCCAGGTCTCTGGGAAACAGAAGATAAAGAGGTTGTTTGACAAGTCCTTCAAGAGTGAGACTGTTGCCTTGCCCAGATGTTTCTGTTTCCAATACTTGTACAAGAATAACAGTAGAAACACTTTAGAACAGGCAGAAAACCCAGGTTTTTATTCATTGGGTTGCTCACATCAGTGATGAAATGCACTTATTCACACTTATCTGAAAAGGCCAAAGTCAGAGACCATCCCTAGTATCTGAGGTGAGAAGACTAACTTTGGGTTTCCTCTGAGACTAAGTTCACCCTTGGCATTTCACTGACCTATTTCAACTCTGCATCTTCAGTGGTAAAATGAATGTCATGGTGTTGTGAGGCAGACATTCATATCATGAGACCAGTGACATTTGCCCTCTGAAACTGGTCATCCTATCCTTCTTTCAGATGGTTTTCTAAATCCCTTCTCTTCCTTCCTCTCTCTCTCTCTCTCTCTCTCTCTCTCTCTCTCTCTCTCTCATTCTCCAACTTTTACTTTTGTTTTCATTTTTCTCTTCCATGTAACTGAGCTGCCAGTGTATTGGATGCACTTCAGAATCAGTGTTCTCCTCAGATTCACAGTGTGGCTGTGTACATTCTGTCCTAAGGCTGTACCTGACACCTTTAAGTAGGGAAATGAAATATGGAGGCAAGTTAATCAAAGTACTTAGAAAGCAAGGTGCCCAGTAGTACCCATCCAAGGAAATTCATTCCATCGAGGATGCTGTAAAAGGAGTTGAAATTGAGTTAGTCAAGTGCACATTCTCTTTGTGTCAACCTCCCCTTCATCTTATGGTTAGTTATATTTTGTAGAGATGAACAGAGATGAAAAGCAAGACTTCTTGCTGGTAGCCTGGTAGGCGTGAAATGAGAGCCCACTGCCACAGCTACATTGCTGAGCTGTGCCGCAGTCATAGGAAGCAGGAAAAGGATAATCTAAACAGATGGAGGTACCCCTTTCCAAAGTCAGAGTGCCTTTGCCTTGAGCAGGGGTAAGATGCTAGGCCTTGACTAGCACAGAGACTGCTGGTATCAATGTCTGGAAAAGAGCAGTCCAAAAATGCTTCCATTTGTTAACTGGAGCTTTAATATAATTATGCAATGAGAAGTTAGCTATTTGAGCTTGCAAGAAAATTGATAAAGAAATTTTATGAAAAAATCCCAATACTTCTTACTTGAAATTTTGTAAAACTTGCATTATGGTATCTTAAGTAAATGTATTCAATTAAGTCAGTAGATAGTCTTAAAATAAGGATAAGGTGAATTAGGTGTAGAATCATATTTATAGAAAGACCCCATTAATGGTACTTTAAATAACCATCATCAAGAGAGTTGGAGCACTTATGAAATGAAATTACTTTGTGTCATTGACTTTTATTATCAAAATTTCAAACACAGTTAATACCCTTGCAAATAGTGAACACTATCATTTTTTTCATTCAAATTTGAAAAGAAAGGGGATGTTGATCTTTTGTGGTCTCAACTCTCCTTTTAGTTATAAGAATACCTTAATATTTCAGAAAAGCATTTCCTGCATTTACCTCTTATGGGAAAATCCAGTGCATCTGCGTTTTGTAATCACCAGTTACATTCTTTGAAAAGAAAAGGGGGATATATTGAGATGTTCACCTTGAGGTCAGATATCTTTTCTGTGGTAAAAATGTTAGTTTTGTCTTCTAGAGAAATATAGTCCTAATTCTTACAAACAGCACTCATAGAGAAAGGAACTGGTAAACAGTTATGTGGGGGCATCTTACCAACATCTGCTTCAAGCACAAAAGCAAAGGCCCTGGACCATTCAACCCTAGAGCTGAGGGGTTTGTGATCATGCTCAGAAACACAACTTACAGACCTGTAGATGACTGTAGGTTGGCAGAGGAACAGTACCCTGAACAAGGTCACAAAGAGTTTTAACCACAAAGTTGGTTAAAAAGTTTGAAATCAAAGACTTGAGGGTAGAAGATGGTGTGAGGTTTTTTATTATGTATTTATTTATTTATATTTATTTCTTTATTTTACCTGTTTCAATTCTTAAATTTTAATTTTCTCCCCATAGGAAGAGGGCAGAATCGGAGTCTAGGAAGAGCAGCATACCCAACAGCAAAGAGATCCCTTCACATCACCCAACAGACCCAGTAGAACTGAGGCGCCTTAACTTCCAAACTCCAGGTAACAGCATCACCCTCTTGTCACAGAGCTTTATAGCCCAGCTGATATTGTCTTGAGAGATTAATATATTGCTTTATTTTGAACAATTTTATTTGTCCCACTCTTATATTTTAATATTGTTGAGGTTCACCCATGCCTAAATCAGGAAGTTGAGTACTTTGTGAATCTGAAGGGAGATGTGAAGATAAAGAAACATAATACTTCAAGTTTTTGAAGAGTCTGTACAGACATCTATTATTTTAATGGGCACAGTATGGTTTATTTACATGGAGTGACACCAATCCTGGAAGATTTTGGTTTCTCAGCTTATAAAGTAAATGCCTGAGTAAATAATTTGTGAATGTGTAAATCGCTTATCTCCTGGAAATATTTGTTCTATATTTCCCTGTTGTGCTTGTTTATGGAACCATGAGAGAGAGGAAAAAGTAGGAAGGGGAGGGAGGGAGTCAGGAGGAGGGGAGGGAGGGAGTCAGGAGGAAGGGAGGGAGTCAAGGGGGAGAGAGAGTCAGGAGGGGAGGGAGGCAGAGAGAGACACAGAGGGAGGGAGGGAGAGAGAGCGCGCGCTAGGGAGAGGGAGGAGAGGAGAGAGAGAAAGGGACAGAGAGGAGGGAGAGAGGGAGAGGAGAGGGAGGGAGGGGTCAGGCAGGGAGGGAGGGAGGGAGGGAAGGAGGAAGGGAGTCAGGGGGAGGGACGCCACAAAGTCCCCCGTGTATACTTTTTTAAAAGAGTGATGAATGTGGACTATGAACAGGACCATGATGGATGAACAGATCTGATTTGTTTCCTGGGTTACTGTAGTCCTCTGCAATGCACATGTTGAGTCTCCCTCTCAGTGCTCTGTTAAGGTAACTTGTTATAAAATAAGCTACTCTAGTAAACCTTGTTTTGCTTCATTTTAAAATGAAAATATACCAACTACTTCAGAACACAGTCAACTACTTGTTAATGCACCCTGGAATCCACAGACTTTTCACTTTGTCTAATTCAGTCTGCAGAGGTCCCAAAGCCACAGCAGTTACCAGCCGAATCATTTCCTGTAAAACATTCCTCTCCCCCAGAAATCCACTGTGGGAACAGCCAGTGATTTGATTCTTCACTGGTAGCGTGCTGCTCTGCACTGTTCCCGTGCAAAAAGTGCAAAGCGGGATCTGTGCTGGCATCAACCTGGCATTCCTTCAGAGATGGAAACGTGGGACAAGGTTAAGCAGGAAAGCAGATCACCCAGAAAAGCCTTTCTGAGTGCCACCGCACTACTGTAGCTCAACAGCAATACCTCCAGGCAGAGAGCCGAGCCTGGCTGGGAGCCAACCATCACTGTTCCTGACAGTATAGGGGACCATAAGCAGGAAACAGCAATGCCTTCTTTCCAAACACTCCCGTCTTCAAGTGGTTTTCACTGTTATGGATACCTTTTTCAAACGTGGCAACCTCTAGGGTTTTCTAGGTAAAGGAAGAGAAATAGGAAAAGTTGTCTTCAGACTCCAGCACACTGCTAACTCTGGGCATTGTGTCAGAGCTTTAGCTTGGATGAACACGGGCTTAAGCCTGATTTGTCTCTGAAATAAACTCTTTTCCTCCCAAGCTGTATGATGGAGCGTTTGACCAGTTCACAAAGGGAATAGACTCCTCTGTTAATGTGAAATACACAGAGCTGTGACTATAAACTTCAGCCAGCATGGATTCCCACCAGTGACTGTGAATCGCCTTAATTGCATGCCAATAAGATCTGATCAGCAGGTGGGCATGTTAACTAAGGCACCACCTGTGCTTTTTCCTGTCCTTTTATTTACAAAAATCAAGAGTTCTCCCTGGTAATACACTAAAGAGATCCTTTCTCGGGTTTTTTTGATGTTGTGATTCTACTTAATTTGAAGATTTTAATTTTTCTTATTTCATGGTATGAAAGATGTTTTATATGTATCATATATAATTACTTCCCTCCAAATATCATAACAGTTGAAGATATTTATTAATGGTACTCACAAGTAGGGAATGAAAAGTTCATGCCATCACTCCGAAAAATACATCAAATGAAATAAGAAAACTGGGATTTACACACCCAGGGCCTAAGAATGTGCCCGTGAAAGCCAATTGATGCCCATCTGATCCTCTGTTACGAGTGACACAATGTCAAACAAGCATTAAATGTGAACTCCATTCACCCTTTGGCAGCAGAGGAAGCACATGTTTGGGCTTCCTGGTTCTATGTGTTCTACTTTCCTTTCACATTTAAGTAGTTTATTCCTGTGATAGTCTAGAGTTAAGAAGTCAGAGGCCAGATGTGTTTTTTCAGTGTTGCCCAGCGTCCCAAATCTGACATGACAGTTTTCTGACAGTTTAACAGTAACACAAACACATTTTGGTCAGAAGCAAATCAGGATTCTACCACTGGTTAGCTAAGCCCAAAGACAAGAGCGAGAGACCTGCTGTCTTCAGTAGACCCATCTTTCTGAAAGTGAGCATCGGGGGAAATACTGCTGTAGCCTGCCTATAAAATTTTGGACAAGAATCTAGTCTCTTTGCAGAGATGGCTCAGAGGTTAAGAGCACTGGCTGCTCTTGCAGAAGACTGGATTTGAATCCCACCACCCACATGACAGCTAACAACCATCCACAGCTCCAATTCCAGGGAATCTGACATCCTCTTCTGTCCTCTGTGGGCACTGTATGGCACGGGTGTCCTTATGAACATGTAGGCATAACACTCATACAGAAAAAGAAAAATTAATTAATTGAAACAGGCTTTTCGATGCGCATCATTCACCACTGTTTATCCCTGTCTAAGAAGGTTCAAACAGTAATATACAATCACATATTTAGGAGAACCTGGAACACTTAATCCCTTAAAATAATTACAGTTTACATAAGTAGATCCATGTTTATTAGTGTACAGCCAGCAGTAGGGTGAGACAGGCAGTTAAAGACAGTTCTAATATCAGCAGTCATTTTATAAAATTAAAATGAAATAGAGATAGGCAGGTATCATATATAGATTAGGTTAGTCTTAGGACCTCAGAAGAATAAATTGGGTAGAATGAGTGAAAGAGAAAGGAAATTCAGTAGAGGAATGCACTAAATAATTACTGCTAGTCCAATTTTATATAGTTTTAAGATCTGAGGAAAAGAAAAAGCATTCAGTTATTAAAGAAGCTTTTAAAAGAAACCTTAGGTCACCAAAGGCTCAGCAGGTAAGGCACTTACTGCCAAGCCAGACAGCTTGAGTTCCATCCCCAGCACTCACAGGATGGAAGGAGAGGACAACCCACACAAGTTGTCCTGTGACCTCCACAGATGTGTGCCCCACTTGTGTGTGTGTCCAGAAGAAACAGTGCATATTTTAGGAACTATAGAGCATAAGGCAATGCCTGCAGAAGAAGGAAAGTTTTCTCTGTTTCTTCTTCATAAATTCCAAGTTATTTTAGCCTCCCCTCCCAATATGTCTTATTTATGATTACAAAAACAACCCATGTTTCTTGGGAAAGGGACTTCAGAAAATAAAAAAGTTTATGCCTGTTGAGAGTGGATATAGTTGTTGGTTAAACCAGTATTCAGTGAATTATTTAAATTTTTATATTCGAGCTTTTAATAAGTTAGAAAAGTGGTAAACAAAGACATTTAGAAAATAATTTTTATCCTATCTACATCCGTTTTTCTTATTTTTCTTAACATATATAAAATAAAAAGCTTTTCTTTACTGCTACTCCAATCTTACCTGCGTTTCTGCCAGGTAAAACACGTGTGACTCTACACACGTCATTTCAAACTAATCTACATACAGTTCTTTAAATGACAAAATGTACAGTAGGCTTATAGACCAATGATTATACACTCAGCTTCCTGTTTTAACATTTAACTATACAAAACGGGCCTTTTCCAAGTTAGTATATTTGTCACATTTTCTTGGCAGTCAATGGTATTGATTTCAGACTGCGGTATAGATTTCAAAGTGTGTTGAACCCTTTCCTGTTCAGGAGCGATTTCTTGTGTTTTGTAGCTCTTTGACCCCTTGTCTCCGTTTCTGCATGTTAGGGCCTAAGGTAATTTCAGTAGAGAGTACAGATTTTTTTTGAAATATTGTAACAACCATTTTTTGATATTTAAGCTCCCTGATCTGTGGCCTCTAGAATGGGAAAAAGTGACTGAGATAAGGATAGATATGAGAGAGAGAGAGAGAGAGAGAGAGAGAGAGAGAGAGAGATTTGAAGAAATGGAAGGTACAAATTCAGGTCTGTCCCTTCCCAACAAAGCAAATTTAGAAATGTGTTGCTTTGCAGAAGTGTGTTCTCTTTCCAGTATGAACGAAGGAGCAAAAGAAAGGTGGCTGGTGGTGTGGGGCCCCTGCCACCATCTGTTCTGTACCCCGGGTGCCACCTTACACCTCTATCCCCTGCTCACCCTCCCCTTCCCAGAAAAGAGAGTTAGGAGTTGATGAGCAGATGTCACCGCAGAAAGGTTTCCTTTTCACTCTGGGATGTCCTTAGTGTGTTTTGCCTGAAAGCTAACACAATGGTAGGTGACTGATGTGAAAAACAAGAACATCTAGTAAAAAAGTGAACGTATCAGAAACTGTGGTTTTAGCAGCAGAACTTCCTGTGGCAACCAAAGGGCCTTTGGAAGCTTTTCAGGAAGCTCCTCCAAACCACTGATACTAGTAATTGGGTCAATGTTAATAAAACCCACCATTACATGCACTTTTTATTATCGTCATGCCTTATTTTGTCATAAAGTCACACAACCTAAGTTGAAAATAAAACAAGCGTTGTTTGTGTTTTATGTAGTAAAAACTGACTCATTGAATCAAAGTGATACATTTTTATATAAAGGATGGTTTATTCAAATTCTGCATTTTGCAAAATCTTACGTTAAAAATGAAATTTAAGTCTCGTTCAAGGCCTGCCTGAAAAACTGCCTTAGAGAATAGTTTATTAAAGATTTTACTAATGGTGATTGAGTCAGATTAGTGTAGTTTTCCCTAGAAGCACCTTATAAATCAATGTCTCC